AATATACAGGGTGAGTCTTCTAAGCTGTCCTAAACAGATTGCAGACGAACGGCTTGACATACAGAGATGAAACAAAACTTTTCCCAACTAATTCATACACAAGGAACAACGTAAAAATATTTTTAACAATTTTAAAATACAGGGTGTTTGAGAAACTGGGGGTCATAGGTTCGAATCTCAGAGTTTTTAAATTTAAACATATGTCATGTTATTGATAATTTTAAAGGTTTAGACTAGAGAAACATTTTAGTGAAAACAGAATTCCTTTATCTTTATCCGTTTCAAAATGGCGGCCATTTGTATGGAAAATATTGATATTTACAGAATACCCTGTACAGTATCTTGAAAACCACTACATAAACCTATTTTTGTTCTGTTTGAAAATTCTTAATCCTAGTGAGTTCAGCTTTAATTTTATATGTGAGGTATCAACATTTTAAAACCTAAATATTTTTTGATAATCTTATTTTTAGCGAATTTCCCATATAGGGAATAAGCTATTACCGTAGTACTCATGGTAAGACCTGGACGCGGGACCGATTTTTTTTTCGTTTTGATGTCCCTAGAGGCCAAAAACACCATCCGTTCAAATTCATATATATATATATATATATGTGTCCGTCAGCACGATAACTCGAGCAAAAATGATCCGATTTTGATGAAATTTGGTACAAACGTGTAAACGTACGTTTATTCGAACGAGTTCGCGATCCAGCATGATCGGACGATGGGAACGGGGGTTTACGGGGGGTTTTATGGGGTAAAAATAGGTTTTTCCCATTTTTGACCCAAAAAACATAATATTTAGCAATTTCTTTCCAAACCATTTTGTAGAGCTTAAAAAAACAAATAATTTAGTATATTGAAGCGTTATTATGCGCCTAAGGGTTACGGAGAAAATTAAAAAATATTGTAAATTTAAAATTCCCATGTTATTCTTATGGAGAATAAGTAAACTGTTGTAGTTTGCTTGTTTGTGAACATATTTTGATAAAATTTGGAAAATGTTTTTATTTCTTACTAACTATTCACATTTTTCAAAAAAAAAAAAAAAAACAAAAAAAAACAGTTTTACCCTCCCTGATGCAGCAAACTTAAGTACTTGTTAAACTAATTCTATTTAAATCAAGAATAAATGTTATATTTTTAAGTAGACATTTCAGTGTAAATCCAATCAGTCAAATGGAAATTCACTTAGTCTGCAGGTTTGCTGCGGCGGGGGTATTTTTTAATTTTAGTAGCTTTGTAAATAAAAATTTTTAAATGGAAACATATGTCAATTAATGGCGTATCATTTTGAAGGTCTTACAAAAGCAAACAACTTTTAAATTTAAACCCACCGTCTATATTTGGTAGTTTTCTAGTAATTAACTTAAAACTCCTATTGCCCATATAAAACCCATGTTAAACCATTAAATGTGCAGTACTGTGTTGCATAGTGTATCTGTATCCACCAATCTCCAGTACTGCATTGGTTTTATATGGGCAATTGGAGTTTTTCGTTAATTACTAGAAAACTACCAAATATAGACGGTGGGTTTAAACTTATTAGTTGTTTATTTTTTTGCAAGACCTTCAAAATGATACGCCATTTGACATAAGTTTCTATTAATTTTTTTTATTTACATGGCTACCAACATAAAAAAAATGATTGACAAAATATTTAGTTTTTAAAACTTTGACATGTCGCATATAATATTAAAGCAGAACTCACGAGGATTAAGAATTTTCAAACAGAACGAAAATAGGTCTAGTGGTTTTGACAGGGTATTCTGTAAATATCAATATTTTCAATACAAATGGCCGCCATTTTGAAACGGATATAGATAAAGGAGATCTGTTTCTACTAAATTGTTTGTCTAGTCTAGTGCTTTAAAATTATGCATAACATGACATATGTTAACATTTGAAAACTCTAAGATTCGAACCCATGACCTCCATTTTCCATTACCCTTGCATCTGAGTCTCTTTTGCCAAGGATCAGAGCCTGGAGAGTCCTGGAGTATTACACGGCCATTGACCACCAGTACATAACTTTGATGTCCTGGATGGTCATCAGAGACAAGTAGCAGCGTTTCGTCAAGTGCCCTTACGATGGAATATTAAAAAATTAGACGTGGCAAAATTCAATGAAGCCATCTTACAAAGAACGCCGGTGGTTCCTCCCGCAACTAGCGTGGCTCACGCAGAGGCGTTAGTAACATCCATGATGGGGCTGATCGTCTCGGCTTGCGATGAGTCTATGCCTCACAGGAGATCTCGGTGTAATAAGCGACCTGTGAACTGGTTGACTGCCGAGATTGCGGAATTGCGTCGGGCAGCATTGAGAGCCAGAAGACTTGCTACCAGGGCTAGAGAACCTGTAGACAGATGTCGTAAGTTGGATGCTTACAGAGTAGCTAGGAGGTCTCTTCGTCGAGCCATCAAGCGGAGTAAACGCAGTTGCTGGGAGACATTAAGGGACGATGTCGATTCCAATCCGTGGGGCCTGGGTTACAAACTTGTAGCCAAGAAACTTGGCACCCGCTCTTCACCTTCCGTCATGGATGGGGCCACTATGGAGAGGATAGTCGAGTCCCTTTTCCCAGCTCACACGTTGCCCCCACTGCGGGATTTCGGAAGGGTGGATGACATACCACTTTTCAGTCTTGGAGAGATGGATGCGGCAGTCCTATCCCTGAAGATCAATAAGGCTCCTGGACCCGATGGGGTACCCGGCAAAGTCCTCAAGAAGGTTTTGACTACTAACTACTTGATCATTTTGAACATGTACAACGCCTGCCTAGTCGAAGGAGTTTTCCCCTCGCGCTGGAAAACAGCTAGGCTTGAGCTTGTTGGGAAGGGGAAGGGAGACCCAGACCTGCCATCCTCTTACAGACCTCTGTGTATGTTGGATACGGCTGGCAAAGTCCTCGAGAAGTTGATCCGTTCCCGGCTAAATTCAGCCATGGTCGCTGCGGAGGACCTGTCCCCTCATCAGTATGGATTCAGGATGGGGCGATCTACGGTTGACGCTATTGAGGAGGTGAAGCAAGCCGTGATGAGAGCTGAGGATTTTAACCACTACTCTCGTAGGGTTGTGCTGCTCGTAACACTCGATGTGCGAAACGCATATAATTCCGCGAGGTGGTGCGGTATGCTGGATGCTCTGGAGAACACCTTCCACGTTCCGTCATACCTCATGCGTATCATAGAGTTCATTATCTCCGGTTCCGCCTCCTCATGTATGACAATACGGAAGGCCCACGGACAATGAGTGTCACTTCCAGTGCTGCCCAAGGTTCCATACTCGGCCCAGACCTCTGGAATGACACTTATGACAGCCTTCTGAGGTCTGAAATGCCTGAGGAAACTGTTTTGGTTGGGTACGCAGACAACGTTGCAGCTTTCGTAGCTGCACTTAGCGTTGAGCTGGCTCAGCTAAAGCTGAACCGAGTTATGCGTACCATAAACGCATGGATGGCAGGCCACGGTCTCTCGCTCGATTTGAGCATAGCTGAGATCGTGATATTGACAACAACAAAAAAACGGATTGATACCATCGTGCCCATTGAGGGTGGAGGCCGTCAAAGTCCAGACCGTTCGTATTGCCAAGTACCTTGGGGTTATGGTGGACAGCAAACTTAGCTGGCGGGACCAGATTTTCCGTACGGCGGACAAGGCCGCTAGGGTGGTTTCCTCTCTTAGCCGGTTGATGGCCAATGTTGGAGGGCCTCGCCAGTAGTAGAAGGCTGTTAATGTCTTCTGTCCAGTCTGTATTCTTGTACGGTGCGGAGGTGTGGGCAGACGCTCTCAATAAGGAGGTATATAGGATGCGGCTCGCCCGTGTGCAGCGTCAGGCAGCACTAAGAGTAGCATCTGCCTACCGAACAGTGTCTGAACCCGCCGTCCTGGTGGTTGATGGAGTCATCCCCTTCAAACTTTTGGCGGCGGAGAGAGGCAATTTGTCAGCGCCGTGAGGAGGACCAGGCACAAACAGAGGAGCGCACCGCTATGGCAGGAGAGCTGGGAACAGGAGACAAGGGGACGCTGGACTAGGCGACTGATACAGCAAGCCCCACCTTGGGTTAATCGGCGGTACGGAGAGGTGGACTTCTACCTCACCCAATTTCTGATGGGTCACGGCTTTTTCCGGTGGTACCTGTTCAGGATGGGCCTAGCCGTGTCACCCGACTGCATATACTGCCCGATTGCATATACTGCCCAGGCTTTCTCGATGACGTGGAACATACCTTTTTCCACTGCCAGCGTTGGGAAAGGCTTCGCCTGGAGGCTTAACAGTTAGTAGGACTGCTGTCGGTGGACACGGTCATACCGATGGTGACGGAGGGTGAGAACAATTGGACCTGTGTGTCACATTACATCCAGGGTATTCTCCGCACCAAGAAGCTCGACCTTGACCAAGATGCGGTGTAGGTCATAAACAATCTAAATGCCAGAAACGGTGAGAGCCCTTAGGGCTTCGGTCACATGTTGGCCTGACTTGAAGTAATGTGACAAACAATTCCAGGTCTGTGTCCAACAGAGTAGAGGGGGTTTTTTAGTGAGTAATCTGTGATAAATTCAGGAGTCTCACACTACAGGCTGGCTGCGTAAAAGCATTGTCCCTTCTCTCCCTAAAAAAAAATATCACGATACACTCTCACTCTCGGATAGTTTTTCCCTTAACACTGACTTATAGAATAACTTTTCCCAATAGAAAATGTTGGAAAGGTTGAATCACTATGAGCATATGGTTGACATTTTCGTCATTTTCAACTAGCATTTCCAATCGGCGGCAGTGCAAAGCTTATTGTGGAAGCAAACATTTATAAGCATTCTTTTTATGAGGTTTTTTTATTCAATGTGATGACACTAGCTACCTTGTAACCCTTTTATGAATCAGAAGGAAAAACTATGGTTTGATAAAAGTAAATTTATAAAAAAAATAAAAGTTTTTATTTATTACCTTGTAAAAATATTAATTTTAATTTTGAGGCAAGATGACAAATCAATCTGTATAGAGTAGAAAAATATTTACATTCTATTTACAAATTATAATTAAAACTTGTCAGACACCGGTACAATACATGTCTGGGGTAAGAAATCGAATAACTGGTTGAACGTGGGATATCCTCGTAACAACTTGAAATTTCCAACAATGATGAGTTTGTGTCGAGCTCGAGTAACGGCAACAGTGAGTCGATTCTTGTCACCAAGGATGTCAGATTCCTGCAAACCAAGATTTCAGTGGTTATTAATCTAAGTCTAAGAATACACCATGTGGGTATGACTCTTGAAGTAAATTGGCTATCTATAGGCTATTCATATTTTAATAATTCCTTTGCATAAAGAATCATTCAATGAGAGGGGCCAATCATTACAATAATGAAATTGTAGATGTTGGTTACACAACAAGTGGCACATAAGGAGTCAGGGAGTCTTCCCATTGATAACACAATAACAAAAATATAGATTTTAATTATTTTATTAAAGAAAAGCATTATATTTATTGATTTTAAAATGCCACTATTTATCAGACAGGTGTTTTTTTGTTAGCGAATTTCCCATATAAGGAATAAGCTATTACCGTAGGTCTCATTGTAAGACCTAGACCCGGGACCGATTTACTTTTTTGTTTTGAGGTCCCCAGAGGCCAAAAACACCCTCCATTCAAATTCATATATATATATATATATTAAGAAAACTGTAGTGATTAGGGCTACTATTTTGATATATAAATGCATTATTAAAAACTAAGTACCCTTTTTTTAATTCATTTTATTTAACAACGACTAGTTTCGACGATCCATGTCATAGTCATGTTGTTTTTATATCTAACAAATACAATAAACATTTTATCTAAATAATAAATAGAATCAAATGATTTCAAAGGTTTTGATGACTTTAGATTTCTTCTGTTTTAAATGGTCTTTATACTATATATAATAATTTTCTCTCTTAATTTAACTGCAGGATTTTTTCAAATATTGGATTGGATTTGTTGATGTTCATTGTGTTAAGTAAATTTTCTGGGTGTTGTTTATAGTTTTTGTAAATGTAAAAATCTTCTTTAACATGTAATTTTGATTTGTCTTTTTCATATTCAAGGATTTTTAAATTTTCGTGGATGCTTTTGTATTCATGGTCTGTTTGTATTAAATGTTCTGCAAAATTAGATTTCATTGTTGTGCGGTTTCCTGATCTTAATGCTTGAATATGTTCTTTGAACCGTTTTTCAAAAGTTCGACTTGTTTGCCCAATGTAGGATTTATCACAATTAGAGCATTTGATTTCATAAATACCTGATTTTCTTATATTGTCTTGATTTTGGCAGTGAAAAATGGATACAATCCATCTATAATTGAAAAAATGATTAAGAAGAAATTTAAGAGAAAACTTCAAACACAAGGAACTACTTCAGGAACAGAAAACAAAAAGAGAAAAGAATTTATTTGTATACCGTACAATACCAAAATTAATGGTGAGTCGGTGGCTCAGTTGGTAGCATCGCGGACTTCGGGCCCAAGGCAGAAGTGTCGTGGGTTCGGATCCTGGTCACTGCCACTAACTTTTATCAGTACAGTTCACCTTTGTACTGTACCGGCTCACCCCTTGATTTGCTGGATACGTTCCACGCACAGATATGTAGTCTATGTGGACGGGCAAATGCAAGGTTAAAAGAGGCCGCCAACCTCTTTAAAAAAAAAAAAAGCCCTAAGAAAAACTTTCAACCGGTCAAATGTAATAATCAGTTATAAAACAAAAAATAATGCTTTTCAAATGATCAATAACAAAATTTCAAAAGAAAATATAGCTAACCAAAATCAAGACAATATAAGAAAATCAGGTATTTATGAAATCAAATGTTCTAATTGTGATAAATCCTACATTGGGCAAACAAGTCGAACTTTTGAAAAACGGTTCAAAGAACATATTCAAGCATTAAGATCAGGAAACCGCACAACAATGAAATCTAATTTTGCAGAACATTTAATACAAACAGACCATGAATACAAAAGCATCCACGAAAATTTAAAAATCCTTGAATATGAAAAAGACAAATCAAAATTACATGTTAAAGAAGATTTTTACGTTTACAAAAACTATAAACAACACCCAGAAAATTTACTAAACACAATGAACATCAACAAATCCAATCCAATATTTGAAAAAATCCTGCAGTTAAATTAAGAGAGAAAATTATTATATATATATAGTATAAAGACCATTTAAAACAGAAGAAATCTAAAGTCATCAAAACCTTTGAAATCATATGATTGTATTTATTATTTAGATAAAATGTTTATTGTATTTGTTAGATATAAAAACAACATGACTATGACATGATCGTCGAAACTAGTCGTTGTTAAATAAAATGAATTAAAAAAGAGTACTTAGTTTTTAATAATGCATTTATATATATATATATATATATATAAATAAAATAAGTGAAATAATAAAAACCAGAGTACCCTGAAATTCATTTTTATTAATCTTGTACGTATTTCGCCACTAAGGCCATGATCACAGTATGAGTTATAAAAGTATGTAAACAAATAAAATAAATAAATAGTTAATAACATATGTTTTGAATTCATAGTAAATTTTGATTAAATGGTTAAGTGTATTTTTGTCTGAATGTATAATATTCTTCCCTGCTTCTAAATTATGAGAAAAAGGATGAAAAAATGGATATAAAAGAAGAACTGCAAATCTATCTACACTCAAAAGAACACAGGGACCAAATTCTCAATGTAATGCAAAAGCAAAAACAAAATCCAATTAATGAAAAAATCAGAGAAATCAGGGAAGAATCTTATACATTCACATGTTGAAAAAATACACCTAACCATTTAATCAAAATTTACCTACTATGAATTCAAAACATATGCTATTAACTAATATTTATTTATTTTTTGTTTACATACTTTTGTAACTAATACCATAGACTAACCAACACAAGTAGACTTGTCATCACATCGTGAATTTTGACGCACGTTTTTCGTGTCTAGTTCATGTACGGTGACACTGGGCGCTAGTGTCGACAAAATTTTGTTGCTATTATTTTAGGGTTAATTTCTTGATTTGTGCTTTACTGTTTGATTATACAGGGTGAGTTTTAATTGTCCCCCCCCCCAACTTTTTTCTACATTTTTTCAAATATAAATCCCAGACCACTTCCAAACATTGTTCGGTAGTAAGTACTTCATTTTGACAAGGTGGTCATTTCCGGCCGCCATCTTGGATCCGCCATATTGGATGCAAAATGTTTTTATCAAAAGTGAAGGTGGGGTTGTGACCCATTATTCCGAACTACATGTTTACCCTAATTACAATGCCGCAAACCGTTTTTAAAAATCTTTATTCATTATAAAGTTATGAGGGCTTTTTAAAACTTTATTTTTAGCCCATTTTAACATTGTGCATGTACAAACAAAGACCGTAATCTCAAAATAGTGCTAGATAAAGATAAGTATACACTACCAGTAATTGTCGACCTATTTTCACTTGGTTATGACTGATGTATTTTTTTCGGCCGCCATCTTGGATCCGCCATTTTGAAATGTGATAAATTATTTTAAATATGAAGGGGGTGTTGTGACCCATCATTTCGAACTACTTTTTTAAGCTGAACTTAATACTATGATCTGTTTTTCATTTTCATTTTTTATTTTGAAATATTGACATTTTTAACAACAAAATTGCAATATTTCATAAATAAAACTTGATAAAAAAAAATAGATTGCGGCATTGAGTTTAGCTTAAAAAAGTAGTTCGAAATGATGGGTCACAACACCCCCTTCATATTTAAAATAATTTATCACATTTCAAAATGGTGGATCCAAGATGGCGGCCGAAAAAAATACATCAGTCATAACCAAGTGAAAATAGGTCGACAATTACTGGTAGTGTATACTTATCTTTATCTAGCACTATTTTGAGATTATGGTCTTAGTTTGTAAATGCACAATGTTAAAATGGGCTAAAAATAAAGTTTTAAAAAGCCCTTATAACTTTAAAATGAATAAAGATTTTTTTAAACGGTTTGCGGCATTGTAATTAGGGTAAAAATGTAGTTCGAAATAATGGGTCACATTGACCTTTACATTTGAAAAAAAAAATTTGCATCCAATATGGCGGATCCAAGATGGCGGCCGGAAATGACCACCTTGTCAAAATGAAGTACTTACTACCCAACAATGTTTGGAAGTGGTCTGGGATTGATATTTGAAAAAATGTAGAAAAAAGTTAGGGGGGGTGACAATTAAAACTCACCCTGTATAACTAGGAGACAAGTTATTGTTTATGATTGGATTGTATTATTTGGTTAAACAAGGTTTAAATGACTGTAATAACGGGAAACAAATTGTAAACAAAAACACGACCTCTACATACACCGTACAGAACTAACAATAAAATTGTCTTCAGCTGTTCCATAAGGATGAGAAATCTACTTGGGGTAGTATGTTTTATCTATGCTAATACTCTTATCATGGCCTTAGTGCCGAAATATGAATAAGTTTAATACCGCCGCCACAGCAAACCTGCAGACTAAGCGAATTTCAACTTGTCTGATTATATTTTTACTAAAATATTTCCATAAATAAGACATGTTGTGTGCTTTATTACGTCATATTCAATTTTAATCAACTTTTAAACTATTTTATTTTAATAATATTAACATTTAAAATCTTTTATATCTTTCATCTTTGTCAAATATTTATTTTTTTTACTCTGGTTTTTGATGGGTCAGCACTGACCCATGTATATGACGTCACATTATGAAGTCATAATCAATTCCAATCAATTGATATACCATTTTATGTTGATCATTTTATGATAATGGCTACATATATCTTTAGAACATATATTTTTAGTGACATATATAATGTATTCAGTGACATTTCCATTGTTTTCTGACTCTGGCTCCTGATGGGTCAGTACTGACCCATTAGTATGGCATCACTTTTTGACATCATATTCACTTCCGATCGTTTTCTATAATATTGTATTTCAATAAGGACACAAAAGGGAATGTTATACAACAATAAAGTTTGTTAGCAATATGATTCGATTTTTTAATTTCCTTTAGCAGTGAACGTGTTAATGGTGCTCAGATCTCAGAGAAGTTTGGGATAAACTTTGAGTAAAAGTTTGCCACTTCTATAAACGATTCCAACTGTTTGATGTTTTGGGGTTCAGGCATATCTACTAAGGGCTTTATTTTGTCTAGATTTGTCACAATTTCATCCTTGGAAACACATAGGCCCAAATCGTTGACTTTTTCCTTCATGAAGTGACAAAAACATTAAACAACATGTTGTTTGACATTAAACAACATTGTCCTTAATTTGTTTCAAAACCTCTTTTAACATGTTTAGATGTTCAGTGTCATTCCTTCCTGTTATAATGACATAATCTAATCCAGAAAGCATAGAGTGCATATTTTTTTTTAAAATTGCCGTAGCAGGAGATACGCCAAAACACAGTCGATTGTATCCCATAAGACCAAAAATAGTATTAATAACGAGGAGTTTTTTAGATTCTGTGTCCATGGGAATAGAAAGGTAAGCATCATAGGTAACTTGGTCAATAAATTATCTTGAGTTGGCAAAGGAAACTGCCGCAGCTTTAATGCTTGGTTGAGTCCCGTTGAAAAATCTGCGCGTATTCTAATAGCTCCATTAGGTTTTTTTACGATCACACATGGCGCAGCCTATTCTGAATGGTATATTTCTTAAAGGATACCATTTCTTTTTAATCGGTCAAGTTCTTCTTTAACCTTGTCTCTTAAAGCTAAAGGAACAGGCCTTGTCTTTTTAAACACTGGTGTAGCATCCTCTATTAAGTACAAATGAGCAGGTCAGGTGTCTTTGAACATTTATTATCATTGGGTTTAAAAACGTTAGAAAACTCATCTACAAGTTTAGCAAGTTGTTGATCCGTTAAACGGTTCTGAGCATATAATTTGCAAATCGGAAAGCGACATTTTGTGGAGAAATAAGGGTAAAATCCAATCTCTTCCCAAAATATTTTGTTTGACACCCTAAGCGACAAAAACTCTGAGTTTGGTTTTCACGTTTGCAAAAGCAAGTTCGACATACACTTCACCAAGAAGGTTAACACAATGACCCGTAAATGAAGTAAATTTCTGCCTACTTGACAAAAGATCGGGTTTTCCTATTTGTTTCCAATTATGATCTGAGATGATTGAAGCGCAGCTACCTGTATCAAACTGTATCCTTGCGGTCTGGTTATTGAGTAAGATATTAAGAATAAGTATCAGGTAAAGATTTGCTTGCTTTCCGATTGAAAGAACGTCTTGTATTCCTCCCAAAGAATTTGTGCCACTATAGCTAGCTGCAGCATTATTGACAATGTTACAACCGGATTCCTTTGACTTATTGTTGATGGTCGCACCATTCTCAACAATAATACTACTAACACTAAGGTGTTGTTTCTTTATTTGTCCCATTCTACATATTCTCGTTATGTGATTCTTACTCCTGCATTTGTATCAAATTGGATTTTTTATGTTACAATTCCTTGATGTTTACCACTGCATATAAAGCATGCCCTAGAAATAACAATCGAGCAACACTCAAGATTAACTGCCGTGCATTGGTGGACAGAGATTAATGGGTTTGAGACTGGTTTTGAGACTTCTAATGGGTTTTTTTATTGCATAATTACCATAGTAATAAATTATGAAAATGTAAACAAACATCTGATAAACCTTTCATGTGGTCCTAACCAACTAGTGATCAATAAAATTATTGCCCATTAAAAATTTAAGGACATAGTCTGGCATTAAAGGACAATTCCGTACATTTCATGGCCAGCCCAAAATTAAATACAATTCCCGGATTTCCCGGTTGGTAGACACCCTAATAAGTGAACAATTGAGATATACAGACCCCAGGTTTAGTAGAGCGAGTACATGAGAACAGGATAATGTCCTTGTCTCTTCCCTGGTACTGATCCACTGTGTTAACCTCCACAGTGCTATTACTAGACTTGACTCGTTGGGCAAGATAGTCAACCTGAGCCCGATATGGTGCAATCACACCAACCTTGTCACCTGACAACCCCTGGATAGAGCAACACAGAATAATATTAGTATTATATGTATTTGCAATATTCAGTATACTACAAAGTTTGTACATAAGAAACAAGTCAAAATCTTCTTAAACAAAGTGGTCTAAAACTTACTTAAATCTCGGGCTTGTCATTAATAGTATTATAGAATTACACTAAATGATATTCCAAAATACAAAAGAACCATTTTATTTAATTCTTTAACACATCAATGTAAACAGAATATTTACTAACAAACTTAATAATAATAAATCAGCTGATGAATTAATCACTTACAGATTTAACTATCTAACACTTTTCCCCTCCTTTTTACGCAGATTCTACAGCTCCCATTCTTTGTCTCATCTGGTTGGCATGCTTTCTTTTTATAACACCTCCACAAAGTACATCATATGAATACAATCCATTTCTATTTTTCACCATTCCAGCTGACCAACCATTTCCATGTTCATTCTTAATCCACACATCTTCTCCTTCTTCAAAAGTTCGAACTTTCTTGTTGTCTCTCCCTTGTTCTTTCCAAAGCTTCATTTCCATCTTTTTCCTAAGATTAGGTTTCATATTGTCAAAAATTGTTGGTAGTCTACGACTGAGAAACAATTCTGCCGGAGCCGTACCGGTTGTTTTCTGAGGCGAGTTTCGGTAGCTAAAAAGAACATTTTGAAGAGCTAGCATTCCATCTCCGACCTCCTGCTTTGTTGTGTAGTACCGTCTTTTCAATGTACGAATTAGTCTTTCAACAAGTCCATTACTTTTAGGATGGTATGGAGTTGTTTTTATGTGGTTGATGGAAGAATGTTTCAATTTCCTTTGACACAAATTGAGGTCCGTTGTCTGTCACGATTTCACTTGGTAACCCATATTGACTAAACCAAGATCTTAATCGTTGAATGATTGTATAAGAGTTTGTTGTCTTAAGACAGTCCACTTCTGCCCACTTAGACAACGCATCAATACCTACCAACCACATAGATCCGTTGACTGGCCCTGCCAGATCAATGTGTACCCTTTCCCAAACTCTATCAGGTACATTCCAAGGATATAATGGTACTTCTTCCACATTATCTCTATTCTCTTGACAAGATGTACACCTCTTGATATAAACTTCGATATCTTTATCCATGTTGGGCCACCACACATAGTGTTGCGCAACAGACCTCATTGATGCAATACCAGGATGTCCTGCATGCAATATCTTCAGAACATCAGTTCTCATGCATTCTGGAACTACGATTCTTCCAAACCACAATAATAATAATTCATAACCACAATAATCTTCAACATTCAATTCATCTTTTCTCTGTTTGTACGACTTTAACATTTCAGGAACAACAGAGGGCCATGTATTCCTCAATGTAAAGTTTTTTGCCATTCTAATAGCTTTATCCGTCAATGAATTTTGTTTTAATAGGTCATAAGACATGATAGTGTTAACCTTATCAACATTCAAAAAACCAATGTGAGCCTCTTCAGGTTGATCTTCTTCAATCGGAAGTCTTGATAGAACGTCAGCACACACGTTATCTTCTACTTTTCTGTACTCTATGTCATAGTTGTATTGATTCAACTCAAGAGACCACCTCACTAAACGGCTATTTACTACTTTTGGGAGATCTCACATTTTTCCAAATATCCGTTGCAGAGGTTTGTGGTCAGTTACCAAAGTAAACTTCCGACCATATACATATTGATGGAATTTCCTGAGTCCAAAGATAATAGCTAGTGCTTCTCTGTCGATATTTGAATATTGTTTCTCAGCAGGCAGGAGAGTGCGACTTGCAAAAGCAATTGGTCTTTCTAGTCCATTTTCGAATCTGTGCATTAGTACACTTCCCAATCCATTTTCTGATGCATCACAGACCATTACCAATGGTCTCATTTCTTCATATGGTACTACTGTGTCTTTACTTGATAGAATTTCCTTTACTCTTTTTAACGTCACCTCTTCTTGTTCAGACCATTTCCATTTAGATTTAGTTCCAGTCAGCTTATGGAGATCACTACAAATGGCATGAAGTCCCGGAATAAATCGTTCATAGAACCTAAAAATGATCGGAGTTCCTTGACATTAGTAGGTGACCGTGCCTCTCGTATGGCTTTTATTTTTTCTTCAGTAGGATGTATTCCATTTCGGTCGATTGTATGTCCCAAGTAAGTTACTGACTCTTCAAAAAATTTGCATTTGCTAGATTTTGCTTTTATACCAGCTTTTTTAATTCGTTTCAAAACCTCTCTTAAATTTCTTAGATGTTCGTTCTTATTCTTTCCAGTTATTATAATATCATCCAGAAGAACTCCAACCTGTGGCATTCCAGCTAAGAGTCTTTCCATATATCTCCGGAAAACACCTGGGCTGGATGATATCCCAAAAGGTAAACTTTTGTATCTATAATAACCACTATGCGTTGCTATTACTAAATACTTTCGGTGTTCTTCTGCAACCTCCATTTGTAGGTAAGCATCTCGTAGGTCTATCTTGGAAAACTCTTGTCCACCTGCAACTTTATTTGTTAGTTCCTCAAATGTTGGAATAATAGCATTTTCTGGGACCAAATTGGGATTCAACGTGACTCGAAAATCTCCACAAATTCTTATTGAACCATCGTCCTTCTCTACGTTGACTGTTGGAGTGGCCCACGGAATAGCTGTAGTAGCAGGATCTACCTCTTCAATGATATCCTCATTGACAAGTCTTGCAAGTTCACTCTCAATTCGTTTTTTCAAGGGAAATGGAACCCTGCGCGCAGAAAAATGTCGGGGGTTTGCATCTTCTTGAACGTGAATTTGTGCTTTATAACCCTTGATTTTCCCATGTCCTTCAGAGAATACATCTTCAAAGTCGTTTAGTACTTCCTTAACCCTCACATCATCCATCTTTTGTTGTTTTAGATTTTGCTTACATCTCACTTTACTAATAGTTACATCAGGAGGGAGTTCCATATTAAAAGTTAATATCCATGGTAAACCAAATAATGGTTTCTCATTTCCATTTACTACTGCTACTTTTAATCTACGTGTCTCATTACCTACTGAAACATTGACATAACACTCACCAAGTATATCTAAAATATTGTTTCCATATGCCACATATTTTAAATTAGTCTTGTCAAGTCGTGGTGAACCAATCTTCTCCCAAAGAGGCTTACCTATCATTGAGGCCCAAGCTCCTGAGTCAAATTCCATGTTTGTAGCTACCTTATTTAACTTTAAATAAATACGTGCTTTACAAATATGTCTTCTTTCCTTTTTAACATCGTTTATTCTCATGTCATGATAGTCTGCTTTAGATTCTTTATCTTCTGATTTTTCATGCAAATTATTCACTCGTTTTTGCCGACATACCTTTGCAAAATGTCCTATTTTTTTACAATTCAAACACTGTTTTTGGTAGGCTGGGCATTTGCGAAATTCATGTTTTGTTCCACATCTACTACATGGATGATTTGTCTTTTCGTCAGTGTTGGGGAAGCTACTTTTAAAATGTAGCTAGCTACAACTACTGCTACATTTCCAAAAAAGTAGCTTAGCTACAGCTACAGCTACAGTTCCGAAAAAGTAGCTAGCTACAACTACAGCTACAATGAAATGTAGCTACAGCTACAATTTTAGCTACTTTTCCAAAGACATTACTTTTTATTCCACGCACATTAGGTAAATGTAAAATTAATTGCAACTAAATTTTTATTGAACAAACATTTAAAAAAAAATGTCAGTATTGTATCTAACCAAGGCCCCACTAGAAAAAACAATTACTTGGAAAACAAATTATTCCTAGATTGTATTTAATTTGTTGGCATTATAAAACTAACATTACAACAACAGAACCAAATAGTTGGGTGTCCCATCATATTTAGTACTTATTTTTAAATATTGCATTATTTTTAAGCATCTTATATGTAAATTTCATCAAGTTCAAAGGACATACAACCAAACTATATTTTAAAAGCTCATTTTATTTATTTAATATAGGCTAGATTCATTTATAGATGTCTTATATCAACAATTAAGACCAATAAAACTGTAAAACGATTATTATTATTTTAAAATACTTTTTTGTGTTACAGAGCCTAGCCTACTGAAATTGGAGTTTATTGCCTTTCTTTACTTTTTAATGTTAAAAACAACATTGCCATAACTTTTAACCATAATTATAAGTTACTTGTACTATGAATAACACTTTTCAATGTCAAGAAATCGTCCTTTATGCTAATTATGCATAGGGTAAATTGTGCTTCAACCTAATTGGTACAGAAAACAGTATTCAGCAACTTATCCTGAAATCGGCTTTTAATTTAAACATGTTGAAATTTGTAAAGTAAAAATAACATGTAGGCCTACTTGGCTATGTAACAAGTAGGCTTGTTCTTGCAAGGACTAAGCAGATATATTCCTAATAATTGAACTTGGAACTTTGTATTCGTCTTAAACCATAGCATAGTCTAGGAATAGTCCTATTACAAGAGCTGTTAGCAGGAGCAAACTATGCTATTTTTTCAATGTAAGTTTCATGTTATATGGAGATTTTTTCGTTACAATTATCATGTAGTCTAGGAATCTTAAATCTCATCAGGTAATTTCCTCTTTATTAATTTAGTAAACCTGTGAAAAATCTTCGTAATCTAACCAAGGGAGGGCTTGTGATGATAAACCACAATCAATAGCTGAAGCAAAGGTTGATAGACCAGCTTTCTCATTATTTTAAGGTTTATTGTTGGTTTCCATTAAAACCCAAGTTGAAACACTATCGATATAATAAGGAAAATAAATTGATTACTAATTTCCCTGTCAATCACTTGCAAGCATTCAATAGCTTCTCTTGTCACCGGTAACGTTTAAACGTCGTCTGTATCTAGTGATTTTATTTTATCTGACAGTAATCATAGAGTAGTAAATTAAGGAAATGAGAGCCAAAAATGTGAATAACACTCATTTAATGGCCTCCATGTCCACACAACGTTGTAATAGGGAATGAAACGGCTGCAACTAGATGTAT